GATCGTCCCAAAATGCTGACCATTAAATATTTGAAGCTTCGGAATGTCTAAACCGAAGGATGCCATGCCAGGTATTTTGATCTTAATAAGGCTTCCTTTAAGAGGAATGCTGGTGTAAAGCAGAAGTGAATACCTTTAGTTACCATGGTCCCCCGCGCTCTTACCAGCAACCAAATACAAATGTGATATTCCACTCTGTAAGTGGAATTTCATGTACGGTTTTGTGTTGTATTAACAGGATCAAAGATTAACGTGGACATGCGCAAAACACTCTATACATGAAAGACGAACTTTAAATGGCCTAATCAGCAGAACTTCGAGCATCTATCCGTTAGAGATCGTTACATTCTCAGGTTTTCTTCATCACGGAAGTTTCAGCAACACCCAATGTCATTTACAATAACCTAGACGAGGAGTCAGATGCAGGTGGCAATTTGAGATATTCTTATTTCGAACTGCTAGAATCCAGATTTCTCAGTACTCTTGGGCGCAAGCTCTCTATCCCGAATAAGGTAACAACTGATTCCATACACGCGATAGCATGACCATACAATCCGGGCGTAGTTTCTGCACGCGTTCTTATCCTGACTTGTGCTCTGTGTGCGTGTGCGAGCGAACGAGAGAGCGAGCGAACGAACGAACAAGCGAGTTGTGGGTGTCCTTCATTTCTCCGTTGTTATGGTTCATTCTGACAGTATCGAATAGGGTTTGATTTTTTCTCACTTTCCTTGTGACCGATGGAACGAGTTCCTCGGTCGAGTACTGGTGAGGGATAAACAATCCGTTTTTCTCTCGCCCTGTCTCTGTCATTCGACGACCGAATTTATTTAAGTTATGGAGATTATGGTAGAAACGGTCGTTATTACTGACGAGACTGAGTGCAGTGGAGTCAAGTGCGTGACAGTGTTAAATGTCCAGTATAAAAAGGCTATGGGAGAGACTATAGGATACGTATCTTAAATCGCGAACTGCAGTAATAATTGAGCTCATCTTTTGAAGACTTGACAAAAGAAAATTTATGTCACTATCGAGTGCACATTATTAAACTTTCTGGTTTAATTTTTCTATGATCTTTTCATTAGCTCTATAGTTCAACTACGCGAATGCTGTCATGACTCGAAAAATAACTGAGGACCTCACCACTTGACACCACTTGAGCTCCACTCAGTAAAACCTGGATGTAACCGTAAATGATCGCAACATATTTTTGGGACTGGTTAAAATATACACTTGAAGAGCGTCACCGATAGATTACGTAAAAAGATTGCGAATAAATACATTTAGTTTGTGGACTGGTTTACATGACATTCAGTGTTACATTAGGAAATACAATTAACTACTGCTCTCACCTGCTCGCATATTTGAAAATTAAAAGCAGCGGTTCAACTGAAATGCTTCATGACAACTTTTCAACATTATTTTGATCATTATGTTTTGCTGTCCATTCCATATGCAATCCAAACTGGTGATAGACATATATTTTGGTATTCACGACATTCAGTTTGTCCCACTGAACAGGTAAACAAAACATTACCAGGGAAAATGTTCTGTTTCTAAATTACTGGTGAATCGGTTACATATTTTTTGTAAGTACTGACAATGTAAATAGAAAACGTTCTTTGAGACACTGAAAATAATACCTGGTGGGCGAAATAAGCTTTTTTCAACACTTTAATGAACAGTTGTTTACAGTTAGATGAGCAGAGCACTCAATATTTTTTGACGCAATGCAAAGTGGGTCTTAATAAACTAGGTATTCATTTAAATATATTAGTGGAAAAGTGAGTAATACTTTGTACTCACCAAGCGTACTCACTGCTATCAGAGAATTTTTATTGAAGCATTATCCATTTCTGCTTTGAGAAAGTATTATCGCATTTGTTTTCATTCCCCTTATCAATAGTGTGATTCGTTCTAAACGGTAGGCGTACTTTCATTCCAGGTGAGTGAAATAGCATTGGTTACATTTCGGAAAAGGAACGCATTTGCTAGAGACGAATGTCATGGACTACGTCGTTACACCTATGATTACGCCAGTAGTCGTCCAAAATGATCTTACATCCATGATTCGTGATTAAAATCCCTAAATGAGAGGCTGCTGAAGAAAGAAAGTTGAATATTCTTTTGTAGGAACTCGACATTCCCAAGACCCTCTTTGGTTCCGCTTTCTTTTGAGGTGAACAAATTAGGCGGTTGTGTGACTTTCGAGTCCATATAATATATACTAATTCCTAAAGTCCAACAGTTATCCATTTTTGAAATACGTTTCGTCACAGTAACCCAAAGTTTTCATCTTGATAGAGTATTTAATATTGTGAACATTTTGTTTATTTTCAGATTCATTTTTCAAGTCATCTACTACAATTACCAATTATCCTTATCTTGGATAAAACACGAAAAGGCTCCAATGCTTAATGACTCAAATAAATGATTACTCCTTCCATAGGTCAGGATTCACATCGCGATGTATTGCAGCGTGAAAATGTTTCATGGCGAAATCCATTTTACCTTAGCGACAATAAAGTCACGTGCTCATTTTCGCAGACCATCCAGTCCTAACCCGCGAATACCAAAAGAGCCATTTCAACACAGCCATGCTTTGGAAAAGACCACCCACAATACCAAAAAGACTCAGCTGGCATATTTAGTGTCAGACATATTGTGTGCTAACAAAGCAACCCGTTGACTGATTGGTGATCAACCTCAAATAGTAGTCGATTCATATAAAATAAAAATTATCTGGTGTCCTCATTTCATCTCAGGTTATCTTTGTTTAAATCAGCTTTTGTTTTATATACTTGTACCTGTTTAGCTTTTTGACTGCCATGTTTTCTCCTTAAAACTACTAATAGTACACTTTGAAACGGGTAGCGGAATGACAGTTTTTGAAATAGTCCCAGTTTCCATCCGTACACAATCACCCCACGTTCGTAGAACGTCGGTTTCAGGGGCATATTATAGCAGTCAATTATGGAGGCCGTTTGCCATGTAACGTATTTAATAACTCACGTGATAGAACCGCATGATTAAGGCAGTCAAAACCGATTGAACTACCATTCGAAACAATACGTCGATTAGCTTGTTTCTGTATGCCTGTTTTGAAAAGCGTAATCGGTATGACCTCACAATTATTATTTACTCTCCTTAGGCTTCTCATTGCAGCCGATGTTGTTCCAGAGAATTAAGTTTTCAGATAATAGTGGTTCGAAGTAAACTGTATGCCTACTAACTAATCCGAAAATAACCTATCCTTAAAGCTGAATGTTAACGAAGGTGAAAATAAGTAAAAACTGATTATAATTAAACAAATTAAGACAAAGTTTTTCATTATGATTCCAATTATGCAACAGTTCCAAAATAACCTTCCCGATCTTGTAAAGCATCTACAGTGGAGCAATTTTAATTAAAGTCATTGGTGCTTTGGTAATGGCAGGCAAATCTGTCAATACGTTTCGTACTGGCGACAAGTACGGTTCAATACTACAAACCACATATTACGGGCTACTGAATTTGCTAATTAGCGACCAATACTGATGAGTGAAGACAAATCTTTCGTTTTTGAATATCACACCGAGATAGGTGATTGAGACAGTGGGTTTGTGAGTGAGCCCGGGACTGAGTGGAACAAAAAAGGAAAACTGCATGCTCCCGGGATTTTGCTCGAATGCTTATTTCTACTGATAACAAGGACTTCCAGTTGTCTCATTTCCCGTGCAAACCTGATCTTAAAGGGGAAGGGCTTCTTTTTGCGACAAAAGTTGGCAAATCAAGCGAGGATTAAACAGGAAAACCTCAGGCGCCAATCAGGGTGGAGTTCAGGTGAAAAACATTCCTGCCGGTTGGCTGTTATTCAATTGTTGTAGTGATTAGCTTTTTGACAAATTAATCAGACGCCTAAATGGGTAATACGGAGCAATTATTTGGCTGATAGTCAGAAGTAAGTCACGCCAGGTGACAAGTTCCTGGTCACATTCTAGTACCGTTAGATTGCTCCGCGACATCCAGTCGTTAATGTATAAGCCTGTTTATTTCAATGGTATTCTTCTACTACAACCTTATAATATAACCTGGAGTTTGTTCAATAACATATATAGCTGGGGTAAACCATAGAATCATTTCTTTAAACTAATGATAGGTAGAAAAGAACCGCTTTGTTTCCACCTGGCATACGTACATGAAATGAACTAGCACGCGAATCAGCGCCTGCGCCACACCAAGCCCCATAGAAGGTAAGGAGTGTAACACCCCCTTACATCTGTACGCAAGTAAAAAAAACAGCTCTAAGTACCCTGAATGAGCTGTGTAGATTATCAGGACAATAGACGCCAAACTTTGACAGTTTGATAGGTCTACGTCATAATATGTCATCCTTAGTAAACACTTCATTATAATACGTGACTGCAGGACCACCTAGGAATGGCTTACGAGCATATGGATCTCGTGAATTCTCAAACAAAACTAAGTTAAGCGATTCAATAGAAATAGACTCATATTTACAGGTTTCTACATCACAACCGTCACTTGACCACCTTGGATGATGGCACCTGGGCGCCGTCTCGCTTTTTTAATGCGATCGTCATTACTTGTTTCTATTTGCCGCTAACAGATGTATTATTGTAAATAGTTTGCTATTGACTGTTTCATTGATCTAATGACTTTATAAGGAATACAAAAACGGATTAAACAGGTTACTCGAACAGCATGGGGCGCTGGAACTTGTTAAAGGAATCGGGACATTTAAAAATAATCTTGAATAGATTATGAAGAACCCTCACTGGTAGTATTGTATTTACAGTACACCCATACCGCGTTACTTTTCTGTCACTCGCGTGATAAAGTGTATTTGAAATAAATCCCACTTATCTTCGCCTTCCTTTTCTTACAGATCAGCCGCAAAGTGAAACAACATAAAACCGCCTAACTGGAAAAATTGAAGTTGCCTAATCCAACTCCTTACCGCGGAGGAAAACTGAATCACCAGCGTGTGGTAATCACACAAAATGATGCCTAACATCAGATGGGACGAACGATTTAATCTTTTGATGAGAACCTACAGTTATTTCCTTTTCTGCATTCTCTTACTGGGATCCCGTTGTATTCAAGCAGATCCCAAGTAAGTTTGTTTCCTCGTCAGTTGCCATGTATAATCATGTGTGAAAAGTATAAACTAGACCATATTATATATATACATCACATTTAGTTAGGCCTTGCACTGAATGTGTTCAGCAATAACATGGGTATGATGAAAGTATATCACTTGAAATAAAGCGCTGAGGGACAGAGTCCATTTCGATAAAGCAAGTTGTGTTCATTTTGTGAACATCTCTTTTCTGAGAAAGTTGGAATGCCAAAGATGTTTCTTGCTGTGCGATGAACGAGATATCGGGGAGTAACAGTCCCATAAAAGTTGATCCCGAAAACCGAATTGCAGGTTGGTTCTTTTAGCCTTTTACAATTTGGTGTGCGAGGTGTTGGTGATTACTGCTTCTCTAAATGAATAAATTCCACGAAATACATTTTGCTTCCTTGTATTGTTGTGAATGGAATGTTTTCAAAAGATGGTTGCTATACACGGCTATTTGATAAATTTTACTGGTGTAAGTGACCTGTACTAGCCCAATAGATGTCATGAGCCCCAGTTTTCTAACTAGCTTCCGTGAAATAGTATCCTTCACAAACGTAATAATACACCTTATACGTGTGTACTAATGTGGTAATCAATACACGGTCACTGATCGAAAAGTCACTCGATTCTAAGTGTCGTCAGAATTGACCGTCGGATAACTGTTGCATCTTGCGACATTGAGCCCTCGTTTTTGATTTGAAATTATACACGCATCTACACAAGGTAGGGTTTAATTCACTAATAACAAGTAACGACATCTCACAATGTCACGGAAAGCTAAAATGACTCAACGAAAGAATTACATGGTACTTCACTCGCACTATTTTCACCCCAAAAGATCATTTACAGACTTGTCATTAACTGTTCAAGTCGTTTTCCTGAACTACGCTAGATTTTTTGATATCCTGTATCCAGCAAGTTAGCATAGGGCAGTTCGTAAGCCGCTGGACCTTATCAGAAAAATACGATCTCCACATCTGTTCTCTTCAACACCGCGATAAATCAGTTGGTCCAAAACAATATCTACCATAACTAACATATTGCTGAATCATATATACGCAACAAGCATATAAAAGGAATCTTCATATTCCACCGCTAGGGATGCACTATTTGATTTGAGCATCCTGTCGATTTGTGGTTTCATAATCCCTTATAAACAGAATGCTCCTTCCTTACGGACATTTCAACGCCATAGATGCGAGGACCATAAACAACCGGATGATTGTATCTCGGTGTGAGTGTGGTTGCGGGTGTTACACATATATGGTGGTTTGTTCATATATTATCTCTCCCACACGGGCGTGGGCACACACACAGAGGCGCACCCGTACACATATGTACATATATATAGTTTGTCTTGACGATTGCCAACAACACAATTGAATGCGCGGCGGCGACGACGGCGGCGGCGGCAGCGGTGGCGGCGAGTGACAAGCACATGAAACGTGATTTGCTCACCGTACCCTGATCGACAGACAACCTTTGCACCCTCATTCCATCTCGGACACGTTCTTGTTTTCAAACAGATCTGATAAGCTTTGAACATTGATTTATCTAATTCCAGGGGTACACTTGAAAATAACTAAATCCGAATGGGGAAATCTTAGTTACGATTTTCTTTTTCCAAGATATACGAATGTGTCGGAACATATCAGTAAACTTATACAGTCTGGTATTGTCCCACAAACTATCCGCGCAGTTCGATACTGAATTCACTCGGATAATGTGATTTAATGGGGCGCTCACTCGCTTTTTGTTACCATTCCACTGTAATGAAGGGGCTGTAAACTAATAAATGATTGTTTTAACTAGTGACAATAAAACCAATTTAAGCTTATGTGATCAACTTTTAAAAGCAATGGATATGATTACACGG